TGTGTGTGTGTGTGTGTGTGTGTGTGTGTGTGTGTGTGTGTGTGTGTCTAGACTGGTCCCATTCTAGCTTTGCTGCTTCTCTCATGTTTGACTTTTGAAGTCATAACTGCCTTCCACCCCAGGTTGTTTGGGGCCAGGTCTAGTGCCCAGGGAGGGTGGTGAACTTGAGCCGTCGAAGGCTGGGTTGTTCCGTGGCTGGAGCTCGAGTCCCTTGCCCTTGGCTCAAGGTTTAGCAGAGCCTGGGTTCAGCCAAGCCCCTCCAGAGGTGGAACCTGCAGGCGACCAAATCAGGAATCTGCCTGACCAAATGTGATTGGTGTCCCAGCAACAAATCCACTGCCTTTTATTTTTTTAAAATCATTTGGCTCCTATTGGATGGCTCAGGTTTTATCCATTTATAACTTCCTTTGGAAATGCATCACATCCAGCCATCACTATTCTGTTCATCACTCAAAATACCCGGCAGAAGCTCTTCAATTCCAAGGGTTCTTCAAGGAGACAGCACCGTCTCTAGCCCAGCCCAACTTCTTGAGCCCCTCCTCACAAAAAACTGCACCCCTCCACCCATCATCCTTCGCCGTCTCACTCCTCATCAGGGAGCATGAAACAGTCCATTATGAAACTCTCTCTTCCCTAAACCTTTTGCGTCCTTGGATCACACCAAGTCTGTTTGCAGCTTGGGGCTGTTGCACTAGATGCTTCCTCTGCCAGAAAGCTTCTTCCCCAGCTCTCACGTGATATTCTCGGCACACAAATTTTAACATGTGTCATTCCCGCCCCCCCACCCCGCCCCAGGCATTCTCTATCCATGGGTTTTATCTTCTTTATTGCACTTTTCACTTCCTGCAATTTACCTACCCACAGAATTAAGCTCCACGGGGTCAGGGATGTTATCTGTTTTGACCACAGAACCCAAAACAATACCTGCAGAGACCCTTTCTAAGAATCAGTTACTCCATCTGAAAAGCAAGGAGGTTGGACTAGGTGACCTAGAAGCTTCCTCCTAGCTATCGAGGCAGGAGCCTGGCACAGTGGTAAGAACACAGGATTTGGAAGCAGGCCGACCTGTCCTCTAGCCCCAGCTCTGTGGTTTACTAATTGTGACCTGAGGCGGGATCCTATCTCCTCCAGGTCTCTGCATCCTCCCTTGCTGGGTGGCCATGAGGGTTCCATGAGATGAAGTGTGCAGAGCGTCAGTCCTGTGTCCAGGACATGGTAGGTGCTCCACAAATGACAGCCACTACTATTAATAGTACAGGTGGTTGTTCACCTGGCCACCTGGCACAGCTGCTCACCCAGGACACCCTGAAGGCCCAAGACTATGCCTGTGCTGATAGGGGTTAACAGCCCTCCAGTGCATGGATGTCCTACCTTTAGTTCCTTAGCTAATTTCCAATTATTGGACATTTAGTCTTTTTCTAATTGTTCTAAACTACAGAACTGCAAAAAAGCATCCTTGTATCTAAATTTTCTGAACACACACTGGTAATTATTTTTTCAGAAGAAATTCCCAGCTGTGTAATTGCAGAGGCAAAAGGTACAAAAACCTTAAACGCTATTCACACATATAAAGGGCCAACTTATCCTCCCCAAATATGAAAAGCTAGAATTCCACTCTGTATGAAAGTACCCATTTCCTTGCATCCTGGACCACAATAGGTATTTCAATTTTTAAAATCATTGTCAGTTTCTTAGGGTAAGGAAAAAAAGTACATCTCATTTTAATTTGCATTTCTCTGATTAATGATGAAGAGTGAGCTCCTTTCACATATTGATGGGCAACTTTCACTTCCAAGGTGGGTTTCCTCTTCTTGTTATGGTGAGAGTCACAACTTTTAAGGATGCTTTGTTTCAATGCATCCTTGTTATTTTTCCATCTTTCACTATTTGGCTATATTTTTCTTTATTTTAAAAGGCAATTTAGGTCTATTTCAGGCTATTAAGTCAGCTATCGGCTATTTTTTTTGCAGTACGGGGGCCTCTCACTGTTGTGGCCTCTCCCGTTGCGGAGCACAGGCTCCGGACGTGCAGGCTCAGCGGCCATGGCTCACGGGCCCAGCCACTCCGCAGCATGTGGGATCTTCCCGGACCGGGGCACGAACCCGTGTCCCCTGCATCGGCAGGCGGACTCTCAACCACTGTGCCACCAGGGAAGCCCTGGCTATTTTAAAAGTATTAAAAATTTACTTGAATGTCTATTTATCTAATTAATTGTTTAAGCATAAAAGGAATGAGGGTCCTTTGACCTCTTCTCTCCCAGATTTTGCTGCTATGAGTCTTGCTCTGATGCAGGCAAAGGCATCCAAGGGCTGCTGGTAGTGTCTCTTTGAGTCCTGTTTGTTCAACCTGATGGTTACATTCAGATGACATTTCCAGACTTCTTCCCTATCCAGGATATGCCACTGGGGCATCCTTAAAGGTTTCTGTGACCCTCTTAAAGTTGGAGGGGGGAGTCAGACCTGAGGGGAACAGACACAGTGTGGTCTCATCAGGAGGTAAATGAGTGTGGTTTTTTAACTTCTTTGATATAGTTTATTGGTGATGTTTTTTGTGTGTAGACAGTAGAGGGGATCAAGATCAGACTGTTTATTCAATTTGACATTGGGACCAACACAAGCCCCTATATATTTTTTAATATGTACCACTTGTAAATCCCTATCTTTTCTATCTCATAAGACTGTTCTTCATCCAGGGGAAAGCGGGGTGGAGGACCCTGGCAATGTGGCTGTTTACCTCACTTCTGTGGGTAGAGTCCTTGGAGTGGGACACCAGTGTAGCTTAGCTCTGAAAGGTGACCTCATTTTGCAAGCACCACGTTGAAGTCATTGCTACCACACTATATCCCAGACCATTCATCACTGTTCCCAGGTGAAGCCGGCACTGATCTCCCTCAGGCAAAACAATGACAGCAGGAAGAAACACTCTCACAATTGTCTGAGCAAAAGTAATAGCTGTTCTTAAAGCAGGTCTCCAATTATTCAGGGCACAAGAATTTCTTCCACTGTAAAGCAGACACTGAAAACTGATTGATTACTCATTCTCTGAGGTCAAGTTTATCATGAGAAGCTAAAAGTTTCTGAGAAAATAACTTTATATAGAGAGTCCCAATTACTGATATGTTGTGTTCCACATATTTTTGAAAGGCAGTTGTTGGAACTTGGAACATAGTTTCATACAGAAACTATGTTATAAATAGTGGTTAGGTTCCCAGGCTAGCCCACATAAGCTTGCTACCCCACAGTATGACTAAACTTTATGGGTCTGTCATTCCAACAGAACCAAGTCGAGTCCTGCTTTCTAGGAGAGGTGAGGCTCACAGACAGAAAAGAGGAGAAAGGGGAAACATCTCCTTCCACGTCTCCAATTGCCACTCCCCAGACTGGAAAAACTGGCAGAGTCTCTCTCCAGCATCCCTTGTGGGATGCTGGAACCACAGTCTCATTTGGAAGGTACACTAGGGGACAGTCTAGTGGTTCTTTTACTCCAGTTTGTAGGTCAGTTTGTAGGTCACCCAGGATGCCAGGGCCCTACATTTTGTTTATTGTATCTGTGGGATAACTTGGGCATCTGTATTTTT